ATTACTTCTATCTGCCTTTGTAAACTGAGTCCTTAGAGAATAGACTCGTATCCTACCCAGTTTATAGTATCTGCTCTAAAGTAGCTTCTGAATGCATGAGATTAAATATCACAAGTACGCAATTTGAACTAAAATTTACAAACACACTTTGCATTTTAAAGGAATGCTTTGTGAGACCAGCAGTTAGCATGGTGGTTACAATTCTGGACTGACTCCCACATGGCTGGTCACAGTTCAAATCTCGGGCGCAGTGGCTTGAGAATCACCCCAGCGGTACGCATGTGTGCCCAAAATCCCAGGAGAAGGATAAGTGATTGTGGTGTGCAGTCCTTTTCCTTGGTGGGTAATTTCTCACTTTCCTCTCACTGCCTCTCTCTAGTAAGTACATGTGCCCTGTGGCAAAAACCTTTTTAAAAAAAAAAAAGGGACCGTAGTTGGTATAATGGTTACATCACTGGACTCCCATATGACTGATCATGGTTCACTGTCCAGACCTGGTGGCTTGAAACTCATGCCTAGCACTTATGTGTGCATGACCAAAATCCTGAAGGGAGAATGGAGAAGGGATTGTAGCATGATCATCCCCACTGGGGGGTGATTTCTTGCTTTCTATCTCTCTATCTCTCTGTCTCTCTCGTGAACACATACACGTGCACTCCATAGCAAAGCTTCTCTAAAAATAACTTTAAAAAAGAAATGTGTTGTGGGACCAGCAGTTAGCGTAATGACTATGTCACTAGACTCCCATGTAGTCGACCGTGGTTCGCGTTCTGGATTGGATGAGAAAGTCTATGAAAATTTTTAAATAATTATTTTATTCACAGGAAGTTAAACCAACTGATTACTTTATATTTTAAAAATTAGCTTTCTTTAAAAATATACGTTTTAAAAATATCATTATAGTATGCAAAATAATTGGAAATAGCAACCAAAAAGCCCCTCATTTCAGGCATCATAGCTTAGATTGTGAGGTATTGCCAATCTCTACTTCTTTTTTCAGTTGTTTTGGTAACAGGCTATGTTCCATTTTTACCCTTGAACCAAATTTTGACATATTTTTAAGCATAAAAACAAACTTCCACTTTACTATAATAACTTTATTACATCCAATGAAATGACATTCAAAATCCACCAAATATGTTAACATCCACCCACAATATTTTACCAAGAAAATTTTTGGATCAGAGATACTATCTACAACAAGCAGAAATTAATTCCATGCTAATACTTATAGCATATAGTCAAATAAATTGTTATAAGCCTACAAATATAACATAAGGCATGGATATTGGAAAATGAATTGGTATTTTCAGTGTAATTTTTATAAAACAAATTCATCAAGTGTCTAGATATCAGTTCTTACCATATATTTTTATGAAAGCCACTAATGCCATCTTATGTATAATTGGTAATACCATTGATGACTTCCATTGAAAGTAATAAAAATTATTCTTATAATGACCTTACTTACATATGTGTGTACACCCAGGTGCAAGGAGACACATCTTCAGATGACTGTGAACAAATTATCCTTCTACATTTAACCACCTCAGTTTCAAAAATCAAATGGGATACTATGCATTAATTTGACTATGACAAGTTTTTTATATTTTTAAGCACTTAATTATATGTATGGTATTATTTCATAATATTGAAGATGATAACATCCTTTCTGATTTTTTTTTATATTCCTATCTTTCTTTTTATTTATTTATTTATTTATTTATTTATTTATTTATTTATTTATTTATTTATGTTTTGGAGAGGTTTTTGCTATAGGGTGTGTGTGCTCACCAGAAAGAGAGAGACAGAAAGTGAGAAATCACCCTCCCCGAAGGGATGGCTATGCTGCAATCCCTTCTCCTCCTTTCTCCTCTCTCCTCTTGGGATCTTGGGCACATACGCATATGCGCCTAGCATGAATTTAGCCACCGGGTCCGGGACTAGAACCACAGTCGACTACACTGGAGTCCAGCGATATAGCCATTATGTTAACTGCTGGTCCCCCTTTCTGAAATTTTTAACAAATGCTAATGTATAGACCCAATTTGGTTTACCCTAGGTCAAATTAATACCTGGGAAATTATAGTATATAATAAAAAGCATTTATTGTTGGCATCAGTACTTTTTTTAGAAACTGAAACATAATCCATTGAATATCCTTGAGAATGGCATATTATTCTTTCAGAATCAATTTTCTTTTAGAAATAGCAAACAACAATAAAAACTAAAACAACTTGGATGCCATCCTGGTGAACAATGTGCTTGAACAAACTGTCTAATAATATTTTTGGTGAAAAACAAAATATCACTTTAAAGAAGTGGATCTGATTTAAATTTTTTTTAATTCTTGAAAATGGAGAAGTAGGAAAGACAATTCTAAAATGGTTTTACATAATCATCAGCTCATGAAAAATGTCCAGAGCCATCCAAACTAATGAACTGAGTAAAGCATCAAGTTCTTGGATGTAAACACCCATCATTTACAGGTGCCTAATACAATTCATTATTTTTTTCTTCATAATGCTAGCTTATTTAATTCTTATGTAACATGTCCTTTGTATTATAAATATCAAAAGTAGAGTAACAAGACTGACTTTGTATTCTGTGAAGTATTTACTATATATTGTCTTGAGACCAGAATAACCCGATTTAATTCCAATTAGCAATTAAATAATTGAATTCTAATTATGCTAAATGAGCTCCAGATACTGAAAAAATTGCACAGCTAATGTTTAATTTATCTATACCAATTAGAGTTACATGATCATATTATGAACCTCACACAAATCCAACAGAAAGAAGGTTAAACCAGAAAATACTGAACAGTAACCCAGGTAACGTTTGAAAAAGAATTTAGATAGACACCTATATTAAAAATTTAAAAAGAGAAAGATATTATTAAGTGTTGTAATAAGACCTGCAAAGTCTAAAACTCTTAATTACCCAGAGGCAGAGATTTAATTCAATAAATAGAAATAACAATTTATCATCGGATGCTGTGTTAGTGCATTATACTTCCTGGTGGTGAACTAAAATTGAAGCATGACAAGCATTCTATACTGATAATTGGAGCCATTGCTAGTCTTTTGTTACATCATGCTCAGCACTAGAGTACACACACATGTGCGTGTATACACACACACACACACACACACACACAGTCCCTCAATAAACACATGTCTGTCTAGGATTTGTTTTATTTGACTACTTTTACCGCCACTGAATGATTTTGAAGAAATTGCATGTCAGCCTCCTTTATTTCAAGGCCTTCATATTTTGATGATTTTTGCCTCTTATTGGGTCACTGGGGAAGAAGCATGATCTATTTTTACATAGAAAAACACTGAAAAATGCGTCATGACTTTCTCAATGACCTAATAGAACCTACACAGTGATACAGCAGTAAAATGCCATGCTCTGCAAAACAATCTGACCTGAAAAGTTTCTCTGTTCAAGTTCGGAGACCTCCCTGAGAACTCCATTCACTTACATGCCCATGCTCTCACGCAGGCTAGAGGTGGATTCAATGTTGACATCCTTCTGTGGTATTCTCTCTTCTCTCTCTCTCTCTCTCAGTAAATAAATAAATAAATTTTTTAAAAAATTGCTACTCGAAAGAATTCAAAACATGAAAGTGTAATTACTGAGACACACTTAAAGAGTTGTATGTTTTCCTGAGATATAGCTATCTATACATATGTTTGCCTTTCCGAGTATAAGACTTTGGTTACTGAGACACACTTAAGTTGTACTTTTTCCTGTAGACATCCTTACATCTATTTTCATGTCTCATTATTATTTTAACAACTGACTTATACTGATTTGAGGCAATTTAAGAATCTCTATTGATGAATAAATAAAACATATTGATAAAAAGTAAAATATTGGTTATTTTTATTTTACCTGGAGCCTCGTTAGACAGTAGCAAGTATCCATTTACCTCAATATCATGTGATTGTTAAATCCCTCATCCACCTGAAAACAGATTCACAGAGCAATTTATGCTTCTTACATAAAATAGGAGTGTAAGTATTTTTTTTGGGGGGGAGAGGTTTTTGCTATAGGGCACGTGCCCTTGCCAGACAGAGAGAGACAGAGAGACAGAAAGCAAAAAATAACCCCCCAGGGGCATGGCCACACCGCAACCCCTTCTCTTCCGTTCTCCTCTCAGGATCTTGGGCATGCACACACACTCACCCTGCATGAGTTTTAAGCCACCCGGTCCGGGACGTGAATTAGCCCCCCGGGTCGGGGCGGTGAACCACAGTTGACTACATAGGAGTCCAGCCACATAGCCATTACGCTAACTGCTGGTCCCAGGAGTGTAAGTATTTTAACAGAAGATTGGGAACACTGTAATTTGTATTACCTATTAATACAAATAAATTTCTGGGAACCAGCAGTTAGCATAATGGCTATGTCGCTGGACTCTTCACATAGTTGACCGTGGTTCACGTCCCAGACCCAGCGGCTTAAAACTCACGCCAGGCACGTGTGCGTGCGTGCCCAAGATCCTGAGAGGAGAATGAAGGGATTGCGGCGTGACCATCCCCCCTGGGGGGTGATTTCTCGCTTTCTGTCTCTATGTCTCTCTCTGTCTGTCTGGCGAGTGCACACACCCCATAGCGAAAACCTCTCCCCCCCCCAAAAAAAATACAAATAAATTTCTATAAAAATTGCCATTAATATTTAGCATATGGTTCAGTTTTGGTTGAAAGCTGACTCATTCATGCTAACGGGGAAAGCATTCACACAAATGGTTCAAAACTGTTTTTAAAAATTTTCTTCTAATACACTTTATTTTTCAAAAAATAATTATTTTATTTTATTTTATTTATTTTAATATGACCAGAGAGAGAGAGAAAAATTGAGAAAGCTGCCAAGCCACCAGCACCAGGACCCGAATTGCAGTCGACCAGGTGGGATTCCAGTGCTCTCAGCCACCACACCACTTGCTGGCCTCCTACTCTACTTTAAGGATAATCGAGAATGCTTTAGTGCTTTCTACAGCAGCACGTATACTAAAGTTGGAACAACACAAAGAAGATTGTCATGGCCCCCACATATTTATAGCATGCACATTTGTGAAACACTCCATATGTTTACATAAACAAACTACACATATTCGAGGTGATAGAAGTGATCATTATCATGATTTAATCAATACACATTATATGCATATATTAAAATAACATACAGTACCCATAAGTACATATTTACAATTATTATTTGTTAATTTAATGTAACAAAAATAAATAATTTGAAAGACTTAAAAATAAGTCTTTGTCAGTATGGCATGGTGTTGATGTAAACTCATCAATGAACTAGGAGTTAGCTCAGCAGCTCACACCTCAGTTTTAGTCTTTTTCACTCTTCCAGCTGAAGCTACACACTTTGGCAACCTTGACCCAAGGCATAGCTGCTGAGTTTTAGTTACTTGTCTTCTTTCTATAGATTTTGTTTCAGTTTGTTCCAGTTTTTATTTGCTATCGTCTATAGCGCTCTTTTAAAATATATATTCCCTGCCATTGACCCTATCCGTAAACTTTACAAAAGTTTATTTTATTATTTTTAACTTTAAAGTAACTAGTTCCAGATCAAAAGATTTCCAGAAATTCATCTTTCTATTAATTGAAGCAAACTGGATGTGAAGTGTTAAGAATTGCCTGAACTTAAAGTGACAATCTTAAGGGCCGGAATTGTTAACATTTCTTCAAAATGTTTTGCAGAATCTAGGGCACTCCAGGTGCTGAGTTACCCACTTAAAGGACTGCTTTCTTGACTCATAAAAAGAACAGGCAAGTATTTATGAAACTAATACAGAAAGGCAGAATAAATCCTTAAATCCTCCTCAACTTAAGACTGTTAAAATAGCTTACTGAGGACTTACAATCTTCTTTCTAAAACATAGCTCAACTTTCCCCAATGTATTGCTTTATTCATAATGTGAAACTCTAGTCTCAAAGTGTCAAGTAAATAGAAGACTATTATTTCTACAAAAGTGAGCACATGAGAGGCAATAACAAATTTAAGTTAAAGTACCAGGGAAAGTATTCAGCTTTTTACAGATTGATTAAGCATGACATATTAAAAACTGCAAATATATCTACACCACTCTCACCAAAATAGTTAAAAATAACCATGTCATATTCAGAGTATATATAAATATAAATGATAGATATGTAGATATATGGGTAAGGAGTTTTTTATTTAAGATTTATTTTATTATTTCTTTTAAGAGAGACAGAAGAGAGAGAGAGAGAGAAGCACTCCCAACAGGGTTTTAACGTCACAGTCCACTCTCAGCCTCAGCCAGCCAAGATTATGGGCATGCACATGGACCTGATAGAGGGAGGCATCTGGACACAAACCCAGGACCTTCCCGTGTGGGTCCAGTATCACGGAGCATTGGGTGATGACTGTGCCATAGCTGCCATCCTGAGAGAGAGACATATAATGATCAGGCTCCTCTGTTTGCCCCCATACATGATTCTTTTTTTTAATGATTTATTTTTACTACAAAAACAAAGGGAAAATATTATAAAGAACCTTCCTGTACTCATTATGCAACCTAAATTATTATCAATAATTTGACATTCTTGTTTTATCTACTATACCACATGTTTTTCCCTGAGTATTTAAAAAGCAAACTTAAGATTTCATTTGGCTTCATATATAAATACATTGGCCTCTGTTCTTGATAAGTAGATCTCTGGTAAAAATAAAATCTGGCAAGAGTAGCCATATATGATCTTGATATAAGACTCATGTATGAATTATTAATAATAATATTTAAATCAGGTTTATAGGCATAACAAAGGGCTAAAAATGGGGAAAATATTCAACTCATAAGATGACTATAGATTTTGTAGAATTCAGGATTCACTACATCAGGCTGGAATCTCACCTGTTTCTCTTGGGTTTTCCAAAAGTATTCATGTCTTCAATCAGTAATTTTTCTTCCAGAAATATTCATGTTTTCAATCAGTAATTTTTCATCTGATGGCACCTTGGATAAATCACATTGCCAGAAATTAATGCTAGTCAACTTTAAGCAACTGGCATCTTGAAGATGGTGCAAAATATTTTTTTTCTGTCAAGTTATCTTCCAGTTCATCTAGAGTTTACCGTCAATGTGGTAAACAGAACTTCTGCAACTTTTCAGTCTCACGTCTTCATTTTCCTATCCCTACTCATCCCATCCCCATTTAGTTTTTCCCACCTGAGCCATGTCTTTATTCTAAGATCATACACAAAGACTTAGAAGTCATTGGTTGATTTCTATTCTTCCCTGGAAAGACTCCCAAATTTCAGAAGATTATTTTTTAAAGGTATTTGTTGTTGCTGTGCTGATATTGACATCATCGGAAAAAAAATCTGTAAGCTGATAGTCAGTGAAATGCAAATTAAAATTACAGTTAGATAACATATATAACTGTTAACCTGACAGACATCATATAAAGTGCTAATAACTCTGTAAATACATACAACAAAGTTATAGGTCTATTATTTGTATAAGTGTGAAAAATTATATTAATTTTAGAAGGCATTCTGAGAAGATACAATAAACTTTCAAAATATTTATAACCTTTTACTACAAATTTCTAAACATAGAGATTTAATTCATATGTATATTACCAATCCATTGAGACCTATATGAATATTTACTATAGTATTATCCATAGTGACCAAGAAAAAGACACAGGTGAATGTTGAATATTGGATAATAGCTGAATAATTTGTGCAATTGGATTATAAAAAAGGTCTTCAAAACGTTCATGGAAAATACATATTATAAAAAATTATGCATGGATTTCCAAAAAAAATTGCACTACAATAATGTTATGCTTTACTTCTGTTTTTTCCATGAATGAGTTTTTTATTTCGTTTCATTTTATGGCTAGAGGGCATGTGTGCTCACCAGAAACAGGCAGAGAGAGAGGAAGAGGAGAAAGCACCTTCATGGAGAATGGTTACATTGCAACCCTTTTTTTTCCATTTCTCCCTCCTTTCCAGATATTGGGCATGCATACACATGCACCTGGTGTGTTTCTCAAGTTTCTAGTTATGGGACTCTGACTACACGGTTGGCTATGTGAGAAGTGGCTGCCTTAACACCAGTTCATTGCAAAGACAGCCCTTAAGAACTTTTGAAGTGCCCTCATATGAATTGAAATATATTAACCATATAACAGATGACTTCTAAGAATATATAGGATGTATGTTAGTGTACAAAAAGCAAGATTTACGGAGCCAGCAGGTGATGTGGTAGATAAGGGAGCTGGAATCTCACATGGCTAACCACGGTTCGAGTCCTGGACCTGGTAGCTTGCTTTCTCGCTTCCCCCGTCTCTCTCTCTCTCTCCGTCTCTCTCTGGTCAATGAATAAAAATGACACAACAACAACAAATGAAAGTAAATAAATAAATAATTCTTTAAGAAAACAAAAAGCAAGATTTAGAAAGGTATATAAAATATTTCTTTTATGTAAATCGAATAGTGACTACACTCACAGACACAATTGTATAGACATTGTGTCTATACAATAGAACTCTTTGTATAGACATATACACATAAGAATACATGAAGGCAGAACACAATAACAGTCCATGCTGACGTAAGAAGAGAAATGATGAGAGAAAAAGCCAAATTAATATAACAAATAGTATGATTCCATTTATAAAAAAGTGCATGTCTTTGAATCCATTAATAGAGTGAGCATCAAAATGATAACAATGATAATTTTGGAGTATTAGGATTCAAAGACTTGTTTACTCATTATAATTTTACACATTGTGCTAATGTATATAGTGAATATCCACAAATTATTTAATTGGTGGGTGGGGAGAAGCAAAGGGAAAGAAGGGAGATGAGGAAGGTTTACCTGGCTGCCTAGGTTCTCACTTATGGTCCATGGTCATGCCGATAAGGTAAGATTAGTCAATATGTTTATGTGATTTCCTTTAACATCATTTACCCTAAAGGGATGTCTGTGCAAAAATGTAAAACATCTGAGTTTAACACAGGTTCATCTTTTGGCAGAAATATATAATACAAGAAGAAAAGTTCAGAGGAATTAAGGACATTTGGAAGAAAGTGATTGTGATAACAAATCATAAAATCTGTTCTAGGTAAAGAATAAAATGTAGATGAAGGAAGTTTGTTGTTAAAAAGCATCTGGGGAGCCAGCACATGGCAAGCTGTTTGGGGCACTGATCTCCCACTTGGCTGATCATGGTTCAGGTCCTGGATCGTTCGACTTACTTTCTCCATTTCTTTCTCTCTTTCTCTCTGGTGAGCACAAATTAAAAAATAATCATAATAATAAATAAAATTAAATGAATATTTCTTTTTTAAAAAATAATCTGTAATACCAATGAGTTGGAAATTTTGATGAAATCAGAAACTAGTTGGTGTGAGAATCCACCAGAATTGGAAGATTTATAGGAAATGCCATAAATTTGAAAACATTTGCTAGTCAATATATACTTTGTACTTAACAGTTTTAAGGCTGAAGATTTGCAAAACTGTCAGCATTTGTGAAAGCTGACATCTTGCTCTATCATTGTCTTACCACTAAATCTGAGAAATGACGTAGGTCACTCACAAAGTGACAGGTGTCTTCCAGTTTCTTCCACTAATATAGCATAACAATGGATTAATGATGTGTTTGTGGTGGTTCTGGTATGTAAACCTACTATGCTTCCAGTCATGTAAAAGTATAATGCATATAATTATGTCATACTTGACAACGTATATACAAATGTACTTAATACTTGGTAATGATAATAAATGATTATCCTATTAGTTTATGTATTTACTATGCTATATTTTATCATTACTTTAGAGTGTACTCCTTTTACTTACTAAAAAATGTTTACTATAAAACAAAGCATGCTCTGTTAAGCTGACAGCAGACTCACACATTTTATGTTTGCCTCATCGCTTAATTACATCATTTTTCGTGTGCTTGATTTAATCTCATATCGTTTTGCTTATTATGGTAAAAACAATTTGTTACAGTAAGCTAAGAGTGATTTGTTATTGAAGAAAGAAAAATAAATAAATTTAGTGTAATCTGAGTGTCCAGCGTTTACATGTCTA